CCTGATCAGTTCAATAAATGTGTTGCAATATAGGACACTGTGTACTAGTCATGTTTGTGTTTGTTCAACACAATACAGTATTCTGTTTTTAAATATTTTTTCTTGCGAGTAAAATAAATTATATAATGATTCCTTAACTCCATCTTTATTTCTTCTCTTAATTTTTTGTTTTAACACATCAGCCATTTCCCACCAAGACAGGGCAACTCAAAAAAGAAAGAAAAAACTTTTGTCATCATTCAACACTTTAACCATTACTCATATATAATCACTGTCTTTGCAGGGGCACCCAGATATGACAGTTCAGATGTCCCTCCAAACTGCTAATATTCCAAACACCTCTTTAACCCCTTGAGGGTCTGTGCCGTAGATCTATGGCTTTACGTTGAGGGTCCAAACCGTAGATCTACGTCATGAGCTCAGCTCACTCTGATAAGTTGTGAGTGGTAAAGTTGGGCCTAGATATGAGAGAATACATACATGTGGTATGTGTGCACCACATAAAACAAATCCTTCAGTACACAGTGCATGAGAAAAAAAATCTGAGACTGTAATTTTTGATTAAAACAGCAACTTTGCAGTGTTTTTTCGTATGGTTTTTATAGTTGTATTTGCGATTTCTTGGTCTCATTTGATAGAATGGAAGATATATTACAGAAATAGAGATGATGTTGATTGGTTTTAGTACTGAAAATGGCTTGAAACTGAGCTCAAAATAGCGGAAATGTTAAATTTTTGCCGTTCAAGAGTAAACAAATGACCTCACACATCTAATACATGCCAGCTGGTGGGTCTAATATACATTCACAAATGTGCTGATATTATTTATACAATTATTACAATATTGCATGACAGAAATCTTCTATTTTTTGGTTTGAATAAAAATTCATTATGTGAATTAAAAATGAAAATGGAATTCATTTGTAAAGCCTAAAAACATAACTAATGAACAGAGGAAATGTTAGTTTAGTGCCAGGAAAGCCTGCATTGTTTATTCTGACCCTATTTTGAAATTGGAATATTTTGAACTTTGCACTAAATTGGCCAAATTACCAATTTCCAATCATTTTATTTTATAGTTGAAACAGTTAAGTTGGCGATTTCTTGTGCTCAATCGATAGAATAGAAGTAATACTAGTGAAATACCTAAGAATTTGGTTGACTGGAATAATGTAATTGGCGTAAAATGGGAGTCAAAGTCAGCAAAATCGCCATTGCGTAAATATCGCTGACGCATCAAAATTCGCGAGAGCATAATTTCGTCAATTTTCCATTAAATTTCATACTTTTTGTTTTATTACCTTCAGAAAAAGATTCTCTACCGTTTCATAAGAAAAAATAAAATTATTTTTTGAAAATTCTTGGACACTGGTGCACACTTTGAAATTTGGCCTTTGGACCCTGAAAGGGTTACAGTCCAGGCATTGTACTACCCATTTTTAGAACTCAATTCCAGCTAACCAGTTTCCCTGAATCCCTGCACAAAATATTACCCTGCTCACACTCCAACTGCTTGTAAGGTTCCAAAAACCATTCATCTCCATTCACTCCTCTTAATCTATCTTTCAACACACCGGCCGTATCCCACCAAGGCGGGGTGGCCCAAAAGGAAAAACGAAAGTGTCTCCTTTTACATTTAGTAATATATACAGGAGAAGAGGTTACTAGCCCCTTGCTCCTGGCATTTTAGCTGCCTCTTAAAACATGCATGACTTACGGAGGAAGAATTCTGTTCCACTTCCCCATGGAGATAAGAGGAAATAAACAAGAATAAGAACTAGAAAGAAAATAGAAGAAAACCCAGAGGGGTGTGTATATATGTGCTTGTACATGTATGTGTAGTGTGACCTAAGTGTAAGTAGAAGTAGCAAGACATGCCTGAAATCTTGCATGTTCATGAGACAGAAAAAAGGACACCAGCAATCCTACCATCATATAAAACAATTACAGGCTTTCGTATTACACTCACTTGGCAGGACGGTAGTACCTCCCTGGGTGGTTGCTGTCTACCAACCTACTACCTAGGACTCCTTTTTTTTTTTTTTTTTTTTTTTTTTCCACCAAGTCGGCCGTCTTCCACCAAGGCAGGGTGACCCAAAAAGAAAGAAAATCCCCAAAAAGAAAATACTTTCATCATCATTCAACACTTTCACCTCACTCACACATAATCACTGTTTTTGCAAAGGTGCTCAGAACACAACAGTATAAAGAACACAACGTATAAAGATACATAACATATCCCTCCAAACAGCTAATATCCCGAACTCCTCCTTTAGAGTGCAGGCATTGTACTACCCATTTCCAGGACTCAAGTCCGGCTATATAAAAATAACCGGTTTCCCTGAATCCCTTCACTAAATATTACCCTGTTTATGCTCCAGTAGATCGTCAGGTCCCAAATACCATTCGTCTCCATTCGCTCTTATTGAACACGCTCATGCACGCCTGCTGGAAGTCCAAGCCCCTCGCCCACAAATCCTCCCTTACCCCTTCCTTCCAACCTTTTCGAGGACGACCCCTACCCCGCCTTCCTTCTACAGATTTAAATGCTCTCCATGTCATTCTACTTTGATCCATTCTCTCTAAATGATCAAACCACCTCAACAACCCCTCTTTGGCCCTCTGACTAATACTTTTATTAACTCCACACCTTCTCCTAATTTCCCACTCTGAATTTTCTGCATAATATTTACACCACACATTGCCCTTAGACAGGACATCTCCACTGCCTCCAACTGCCTCCTCGCTGCTGCATTCACAACCCAAGCTTCACACCCATATCAGAGTGTTGGTACTACTATACTTTCATACATTCCCTTCTTTGCCTCCATAGATAATGTTTTTTGACTCCACATATACCTCAACTCTAAGTGGTAGGTTGGTAGACAGCAACCTCCCAGGGAGGTACTACCGTCCTGCCAAGTGAGTGTAAAACTGAAGCCTGGAATTGTTTTACAAGATGGTAGGATTGCTGGTGTCTTTTTTTTCCTGTCTCATACACATGCAAGATTTCAGGTATGTCTTGCTACTTCTACTTACACTTAGGTCACACTACACATATATGTACAAGCATATATATACACACCCCCTTGGGTTTTCTTCTATTTCTTTCTAGTTCTTGTTCTTGTTTATTTCCTCTTACCTCCATGGGGAAGTGGAACAGAATTCTTCCTCCATAAGCCATGCGTGTTGTAAGAGGCGACTAAAATGCCGAGAGCAAGGGGCTAGTAACCCTTTCTCCTGTATATATTACTAAATGTAAAAGGAGAAACTTTCGTTTTTCCTTTTGGGCCACCCCGCCTTGGTGGGATACGGCCGGTGTGTTGAAAGAAGAAAGATATACCTCAACGCACCACTCACCTTTTTTCCCTCATCAATTCTATGATTAACCTCATCCTTCATAAATCCATCTGCCGACATGTCAACTCCCAAGTATCTGAAAACATTCATTTCTTCCATACTCCTCCTCCCCAATTTGATATCCAATTTTTCTTTATCTACATCATTTGATACCCTCATCACCTTACTCTTTTCTATGTTCACTTTCAACTTTCTACCTTTACACACACTCCCAAACTCATCCACTAACCTTTGCAATTTTTCTTTAGAATCTCCCATAAGCACAGTATCATCAGCAAAAGGTAACTGTGTCAATTCCCATTTTGTATTTGATGCCCCATAATTTAATCCCACCCCTCTCCTGAACACCCTAGTATTTACTTCTTTTACAACCCCATCTATATATATATTAAACAACCATGGTGACATTACACATCCCTGTCTAAGACCTACTTTTACCGGGAAGTAGTCTCCCTCTCTTCTACACACCCTAACCTGAGTCTCACTATCCTCATAAAAACTCTTTACAGCATTTAATAACTTACCACCTATTCCATATACTTGCAACATCTGCCACATTGCTCCCCTATCCACTCTATCATATGCCTTTTCTAAATCCATAAATGCAATGAAAACTTCCCTACCTTTATCTAAATACTGTTCACATATATGCTTCAATGTCAACACTTGATCTACACATCCCCTACCCACTCTGAAGCCTCCTTGCTCATCCACAATCTTACATTCTGTCTTACCTCTAATTTCTTTCAAAAATTTAACCTTTACCGTACACTTTTCCTGGTATATTCAGTAAACTTATTCCCCTATAATTTTTACAATTTTGTCCCCCTTCCCTTTATATAAAGGGGGACTATACATGCTCTCCTCCAACCCCTAGGTACCTTCCCCTCTTTTATACATTTATTAAACAAAAGTACCAACCACTCCAACACTATATCCCCCCCTGCTTTTAACATTTCTGTCATGATCCCATCAGTTCCAGCTGCTTTACCCCCTTTCATTCTACATAATGCCTCACGTACCTCCCCCACACTTACATTCTGCTTTTCTTCACTCCTAAAAGATGGTATACCTCCCTGGCCAGTGCATGAAATTACCGCCTCCCTTTTTTCATCGACATTTAAAAAGTTCCTCAAAATATTCTCGCCATCTACCTAATACCTCCCTCTCTTAATGTATTGAAATATTTAATTGTGTAGTTCAAGAAATTTTAACCAATAAATGGTAAATTTTAGTTATTGTAATTGTTTTCTGATATTGGAAGGGCTACGAGCATGCCTTTAATGCAACATTTGGAACATCTTATAATAATAATAATGGTTTTTCATGGATTACAGGAGGGCCCCACTTATACGGCTGGTTAGGTTCCAGGCTACCGCCGTAAAGCGGAAACCGCCGTAAAGTGGAACACCCTTTTTTTCCACTTACAAATGCATACAAACACTAGATAACAAGTTTACACTAACATATATTAAGTTAGCAATAGAACCAGGCATCAAAAAAACAATAAAAAAGTACAATACACACATAGTGCACTCATTACTTACCTTAAAATATTTATAGTCTTAATCTATTGTGAGACAAGTAGTATTTATTGTAAGAAATCAAGTGTGGTATGTATGGTAGTCAGCCAGGTTACCATACCAGGCCACCCACCCACCCCATACAATTCTATGATATTTAAGCACCCCAAAGGCGATAAAATGTATATAAAAAGTTCACTCATTCTTACCTTAAAATATGGGTGAGATGAGTAGTATTTATTGTAAAAAATCAAGTGTGGTATGTATGGTAGTCAGCCGGGGCTACCATCCCAGGCCAACCCACCTACACATAATATTCTATTAACATTTAAGCATCCCAGAGCGATAAAATGTATTTTACAGTTCACTCATTACTTACCTTAAAATATTTGTAGTCTTAATGTAGGGTCAGGGGGGTAAGTAAATGAGATAAAACGAATAAATGAGAGAGAGAAAGAATGAGTGCATGAGAGAGGACGGGCGCAGAGTTAGTAAACAAACCAGGCGAAGGTAAGTTTTGTAAACGAAGTGTACACGTCTGGTTTGTGTACAAGTTACATTGTGTACAGGTTGTCTCTACATTGATACGGTTAGAATAAATAAAGTAGAACACTCTTTCTCATGTAACATCATTTTGAGAAGAAATGATGCTCTGAGTGAAGGCATGGAAATAAGTCACTCTGACTTTTTTTGGGGTTTTCCTTTGGTTCTCTACACATATGTTGTTATGTATGATAATCTATGTAACTGTATTTTTGTATACCTGAATTAAACTTACTTTCTTACATACGAAAGGAATAATTTTCTACAGTTACCCCCAGTAAACACATTTTCTCTTATGTTGATTAGAGAAAATGTTATTCTTGGCGTCACTTGTACAAGTTACCTGGCTTTCCACATCTCATATTTATGTTTATTTATTCTATTGTGGGGTGTATTTATCATCTTTTTATGTTATGTATCGTGTTTATTTTAATTTTGAAAAAAATATAAAGGATGGATTAATGAAAATGTGTTTTATTAACGTAAATATACAACATTTAATGAGACTCGGTGATTATTATTATTATTATTATTATTATTATTATTATTATTATTATTATTATTATCATTTCTAATATGGCGTCACTTGTGCAAAATCGTCTGCTACCCCTTTCATATTTATGTTTATTCTGTTTGTGGGGTGTTTTTTATCATCTTTTTATGTTATGTATCGTGTTTATTATATAATTTTGAAAAAAATATCATAGATGGATTAATGAAAATGTGTATTTAACGTAATATACGACATTTAAATGAGACTCGATGATTATTATAATCATTACTAATATGACGTCTGGAGACATAAGACACTCTTACTGATTTTAATGTGTACCTGCATGCCAGCACAGTATGTAAGTTTATTTAAGTACAGGTATACATAAGTATAATTATCAGAGTATATATAAAATATCTGGAGTTTATCTGGAGAGAGTTCCGGGGGTCAACGCCCCCGCGGCCCGGTCTGTGACCAGGCCTCCTTAGGTCAGTGTCCCAGGATGCGACCCACACCAGTCGACTAACACCCAGGTACCCATTTTACTGATGGGGAACATAGACAACAGGTGGAAAGAAACACGTCCAATGTTTCTACTCTGGCTGGGAATCGAACCCAGGCCCTCACCGTGTGAAGCGAGAGCGTTAACCACCAGGCCACCAGAGCCCTTGAAATAACTTTTAAAAACATTTGAAATTTTGGAGTTTCCAGACAAAATGGAGAGACTTAGTGCTTACTGAGCTCACGAAGAATGTAAACAAACAGGGTGGGGCACGGTGACCGTATTAGAAAGTCAGGTGGGGGGAGCCGTATAGCGAGTTTTGGTCATAATTTGAAATGACCATATTAGTGGAACGCCGTAAAGTGAAACGCCGTAAAGCGGGGCCCTCCTGTATTATGTTTTTGAACAACTAAGTTGGAACACAAAGAAAATTGTATTGTAAACAAGAGCAGTCTCTTTTCCAGCATTAGATTAGGACAGGTGTCAAAATATGGAGATTATATTGCATTCTTGTCTTCACATTGTCTGAAATATATGTATACAGTACACATTAATGTAAATTTATCTGTAAAAGCTCTAAAATTAATTTAATGATTGTTAATATTGCCTGCTTAATAGAGTCTAGTCAATACAGTGGTGGTAGCAGCTTGAGTGATGGTGGATCGAGTACCAAACGACTGCGATTGCAACATGCAATGCAGAAGCAACAGCAGCAACAACAGCAGCAACATGAACAGAAGCCATCACAGTTACTTATAGACGATCTCGCTCCTCCTGTCTCCCCGTGCTCAGACGTTTCTGTCACCTCACATGTCTCTCATGGCTCCATACAGCAGGTTAGAACTAACCTTTGGCTTTTCCTTTCATTTGATTATATTTCTAATTATTGTATATGAATTAATGAATGTTTTCTAAATGATATAGGATAGAGGATATAGGATAGAGGATATAGGATAGAGGATATAGGATATTGATATAGGATATTGGAGAGAGGGGGTAAAGGAGGTTTTGTGGGCGAGGGGCTTGGACTTCTAGCAAGCGTGCATGAACGTGTTAGATAGGAGTGAATGGAGACGAATGGTACTTGGGACCTGACAATCTGTTGGAGTGTGAGCAGGGTAATATTTAGTGAAGGGATTCAGGGAAACTGGTTATTTTCATATAGTCGGACTTGAGTCCTGGAAATGGGAAGTACAATGCCTGCACTTTAAAGGAGGGGTTTGGGATATTGGCAGTTTGGAGGGATATGTTGTGTATCTTTTTATGTATATGCTTCTAAACTGTTGTATCCTGAGCACATCTGCAAAACAGTGATAATGTGTGAGTGTGGTGAAAGTGTTGAATGATGAAAGTATTTTCTTTTTGGGGATTTTCTTTCTTTTTTGGGTCACCCTGCCTCAGTGGGAGACGGCCGACTTGTTGAAAAAAAAAAAATTTTAAAAACACAAAGTTAAGCTTCTCTCCCAGTTAAATATTGTCTTGCTCTTGTGTCCTTATATATAGGAGAATAATAATGTAATATTTTGTATTTTGTAATAAAATTGTGCATACCATAGTACATTAATAAATTTTTTGACATAGCTGTTTCCCACCAAGGCAGTGGAGACCCAAAGTAGGAAAATACATTCACTATCACAAAATCCTTAACTGTCTTTCTGGAAAAGCACAGACATAACATTTCTAATGAGCCATCAAAGAATGACATATACGTGCTTTTAACATGTACGATATTTAGATATCTGGGAGTCAATGTCACGGCAGATGAGTAACACTTTTACATGGGCACAAGGAAGGTGCTAGAGGCAACAGAGATGTCAGGTTTGAAATCAGTGTGTGGTATGAGTATTGTGAAGAGAGTTCAGAGCATAGAAATTAGAAGACATTTAGAGAGGAGGAGTAAAACAGGTTGATCAAGAGGGTGCATAAATCTGGGGTGGAAAGGAGGAGGAATATGGGTTATTTCAAGAAGGGTTGGAGGGAGGATGGGTAAGGGAAGTTTTGAGTGGTAGATGCTTGGGCATCCAAAAGGCTTTTGTGAGTGTACAAGATCAGATTGAGTACAGATAAGTGATTTTTATGGCTTGATGTGCTACTGGAATGCAGGGGAAACTGGTTATCCATACTTGAATCCTGGAGGTGGAAAGTACAGTACCTGCACTCTATAGTAGCTAAGAGGGTTGTTTGAATTTTGATGTCCATGTGTGTATTTTATATTGGACAGTTTTACTGTATATTATATAAACTGTCCATTGCCTATGTTTGTTATAGGCTTTTCCTGCCTAGAATATTCAGTGTTAAAATACAGGATAGGAAATAAATTAAATGTTTTTTAAACTACTTCTTAGGAAAGCAATGTACACTACAGTTCAAAATCTGTGAATAAGGAACGATACTACCGTAAGATAGAGTTTCCTCCTGAGGTGTCACGTTCTTTATCATCACGGCTCTCTGGTTCCTGCGAGGAAGAGAAGAAGGAAGACCACTTTCTTCACATGATGGTTATGTCACCCTCGGGCAGTGCCAGCTCACATACTTCAGGTGAGTCAGTCGTTTATAAGGCATAACCTAGCCTCATTTCACTACCTTAATTTTCTTATGGCATTCCCAACACCAATTTTCTTAATAGGTCCCAGCATCAGTTTTCTTATGAGGTCCCAGCATCAATTTTCTTATGAGATTCCCAACATCAATTTCTTACAAGGTCCCATCATTTTTTTAACATTTCCTATAAATTAACACATGCTATTTTTTTTTGTGTGTTAGTCGAGTTGCTAGTAGGTTAGGTTTTATGGCCGGTGTTATACTTTATAATGCATTATAAAAAAGTCACACCCTGATAACAGGTCAGGACAAACCCCATGTTTTCTAGGTTTGTCCTCCATTCTGTAGGTTAGTTGAAAATAATGACTTACATTAGTATTATATCTTATCATTTTCACTAGTTAAGTAAATTTTAAGAAATAAAGCTCAAATAAGTTATATTACTATTGTAGTACTGTATTAGGTTTAAGGAACAAGGCCTAAATAATGGTTTGTTACAGGCGGTGGTTATGGAGTGGAGCAGCAGTACCTAGGGTGCAGTAATGGTGCACCACAGTATGTGGCTGGGGCAGACACTGCTGCAGCTACTGCAGCAGTGTGTAGTACAGCAGCTCAGGTGGTGCAGATAGCTGCTGTTCCATTCTCTCCTGTCATACCTCTCAACCCTGTGGTGACAAACCTTTCTGTACAGCTGCCACCTGTACCAACAACTGAGGTGATAAATGTATTAGATTAATTCACAATTGTCTTTTTTTTTAGACAAATTTAATTAGTTTTAAGCTCTGTGGTGCTGTATATTTAGAATTCACTTATTGAAAGAATGGAATCAGTTCAGCATTTTTATTTCAGAATGGAGTTAGACCTTCAGTGACAGTAATTTAATACAGCCTCTCCTCACTTAACGACCAAGTTCCATTCCTATTGTAGGTCGGTAAGCGAATTGGTCATTAAACAAGGAGCATACTGTACTGGTAGTGGGTTTGTGTCAACCATCTTTAGATATTTTTTTAATGTCATCTTTGCACCATCTATAACATTTTTAGTATATTTTTAAATGTTTATACAGTAGTGTAATTTTTTTTTTTTTTTCCAACAAGTCGGTCGTCTCCCACCGAGGCAGGGTGACCCAAAAAAAGAAAGAAAATCCCCAAAAAGAAAATACTTTCATCATCATTCAACACTTTCACCACACTCACACATTATCACTGCTTTTGCAGAGGTGCTCAGAATACAACAGCTTAGAAGCATATACGTATGAAGATACACAACATATCCCTCCAAACTGCCAATATCCCAAACCCCTCCTTTAAAGTGCAGGCATTGTACTTCCCATTTCCAGGACTCAAGTCCGACTATATGAAAATAACCGGTTTCCCTGAATCCCTTCACTAATATTACCCTGCTCACACTCCAACAGATCGTCATGTCCCAAGTACCATTCGTCTCCATTCACTCCTATCTAACACGCTCATGCATGCTTGCTGGAAGTCCAAGCCCCTCGCCCACAAAACCTCCTTTACCCCCTCTTTCCCACCCTTTCGAGGACGACCCCTACCCCTCTTTCCTTCCCTATAGATTTATATGCTTTCCATGTCATTCTACTTTGATCCATTCTCTCTAAATGACCAAACCACCTCAACAACCCTCTTCTGCCCTCTGACTAATGCTTTTATTAACTCCACACCTTCTCCTAATTTCCACACTCCGAATTTTCTGCATAATATTTACACCACACATTGCCCTTAGACAGGACATCTCCACTGCCTCCAACCGTCTCCTCGCTGCTGCATTTACCACCCAAGCTTCACATCCATATAAGAGTGTTGGTACTACTATACTTTCATACATTCCCTTCTTTGCCTCCATAGATAACGTTTTTGACTCCACATATACCTCAACGCACCACTCACCTTTTTTCCCTCATCAATTCTATGATTAACCTCATCCTTCACAAATCCATCTGCCGACACTTCAACTCCCAAGTATCTGAAAACATTCACTTCTTCCATACTCCTCCTCCCCAATTTGATATCCAATTTTTCTTTATCTAAATCATTTGATACCCTCATCACCTTGCTCTTTTCTATGTTCACTTTCAACTTTCTACCTTTACACACATTCTCAAACTCATCCACTAACCTTTGCAATTTTTCTTTAGAATCTCCCATAAGCACAGTATCATCAGCAAAAAGTAACTGTGTCAATTCCCATTTTGAATTTGATTCCCCATAATTTAATCCCACCCCTCTCCCGAACACCCTAGCATTTACTTCTTTTACAACCCCATCTATAAATATATTAAACAACCATGGTGACATTACACATCCCTGTCTAAGACCTACTTTTACCGGGAAGTATTCTCCCTCTCTTCTACATACCCTAACCTGAGCCTCACTATCCTCATAAAAGCTCTTTACAGCATTTAGTGTATACTGTAATAAACAGAATAGAGGAAATCAGTTCTAATATACATTACTTAGGTTTGCATACTAGTAGGAGAGCTGGTTGTAACTCCAAGTGGTCAGTAAACAAGTATGTCACTAAGTGAGGAGAGGCTGTAGAGTTAAATCTTCACTGGTAGTAATTCAATGGAGTTTAACCTATTTATTCCAGAGAGGTGAGCATATCTCTGATTTGCAAGTGTTTTATCTTCTCTAAGAAATTTGTTATCTAACCTGTTAGAGGTAGTAGTAATTACTGTACTGTTACAGTATTCTGGTAACTCTTGCATTCCTGTCATTTCACTGAGTAATAAAAAATGACTTAGCAAAAGACAGTAATTGCATCTCTGACTTTATAAAAGATTTTCTGAGATAAACTGTGAGGTTACATTATTTAATATTACATTGTTGTTCTCTTGAAGTTGAATCCACATTTATGTTGGGTTGAATCCCAGTGGTGCACTACGAAAAGTGGTGAAGAAAAGACCTTTTTGTGAATATCCTTCTATTGGCAATTTTAATTTCTTAAAATCTTTACCTAGTCATGTAGAGGAGGAGGAGGAGGAGGAGGAGGAGGTATGTACATTGCCTACACCCTGAAGGAGGAGCAGTGGAGATATAGCAGTTCAAAGGGTCATCTGAACTGTGATATAAACATGATTCTGGTAAGATAGTGATTGAATAAATGATGATGAAAGCGATTCCTCTTTTTTGGGTTACCTTACTTCAGTGGGAACAGAATGGTGTGTTATATACAGGTCCACATCCCTTTATCCAAAACCCTTGGGGCCAGTATTGTTTTGAATTTCAGCCTTTTTCAAATTTCAGAATGATTCTCAACGCCACCATGTGGTGGCATGACCCAGCACTGAAATGACTGATGCTCCACACTCCACGAAAAAAACTTTGGTTTTCGGAACTTTTCAGATTTCAGAATTCTGGATAAAGGGATGTGGACCTGTACTGGTAAGAGAGAAAAATGTGAGGTGTGGGATGTAATTGGAGTGTGATGAATCGTAGGTCTGTGGAGTATTTCAGGAGGTCCAGTGGACTAGTTCAGCATGATGAAATGTAGAGGAATTAGGGCCAACATACCATCCAGACACCAGACAGCATCTCTTCATAATAGTCCCGTGAGCCTCCTGCAGTGCTCCACATATCCACAATTCATCATGAGGGTACTGTAGGAAATACATGGCAGAGAAATAAATGCTTCTCTCTATAGATAATTGTACCAGTATTTTTAGCCTCAGTCAGGTATAAAAACAATTATTTACATTTTGTATTTCTATATAGCTTGAGCAAAGAGGCTAGTGATCCATTTTCTTGTATATTATTACTAAATTTCAAAGGAGAAACTTTCATTTTTTTTCTTTTGGGCCACCCTTCCTCGTGGGATAAGCTGATTTGTAGAAAGATTGTTGATGATTTTCCACTAGTCTGTAATAATTTCATATAATACAAGTGATAGTGAGCTCATTTCTGTATTAAAGGGAGTCTCAAAGGAGGGGTTTGAGATATTGGCAGTTTGGAGGGACATCTTCTTAAGCTATGTCGTCTGAGCGCCTCCTGCAAAGACAGGTGATTATGTATGAGTGACTAGTGGAAGTGTTGAATGATGATGAAGTTTTTTCTTTGTTTTTGGGTCACCCTGCCTCGGTGGGAAACGGCCAATGTGTTAATAAAAAAAAAATATATATATGTATAATATTCCAGCAAGCATGCATGAGCATATTTGATAGGAAGATGAATGGAGACAAAAAAATGGTTTTTAATACTTGATGTGCTGTTGGAGTGGTGAGCAAAGTAACATTTATGAAGGGATTTCAGGGAAACGGCAGGCCGGACTTGAGTCATGGAGATGGGAGGTACACTCTGAAGGAGGGGTGTTAATGTTGCAGTTTTATAACTAGTTTGTAAAGCACCCCTCTGGCAAGACAGTGAGGAGTGAATGGATGATGAAAGTTTTTCTTTTTTTCGGGCCACCTGCCTTGTGGGAACTCCGGCCGAGTGTAATAAATAAAAAAAAAATATATACAGTATGTGTGTGTGTGTGTATATATATAATATATATATATAAGATATATATATATCTATAATATATATATATAATATATATATATATATATATATATTTATGTAAATATATGTATATAATATTTATATGGGTGTGGAAGCGTGGTGATGAATGTTGCAGCGAGGTGAAGGCTGGAGGCGGTGAGATGTTCATTGCTGAGGGCTTGTGTGGCCAGTGTGAAATAATGCAGAGAATTCGTAGTTTGGAAGTTAGGAGGAGGTGCGGGATTACCAAATGTTGCCCAGAGGGCTGGGAAGGGGTTGTTGGGGTGGTTCGGACATGAAGAGAGAATGGAGCGAAACAGAATGACTTCAAGAGTGTATCAGTCTGTAGTGGAAGGAAGGCGGGGTAGGGGGCGGCATAGGAAAGGTTGGAGGGAGGGGGTAAAGAGGTTGTTGTGTGGTAGGGGCTTGGACTCAGCGGGCATGCTTGTGAGCGTCCGTTTGATTAGGATGTGAATGGAGAGAATAGTTTTGGAGTGAGTATAACAAGTTAAGGAAGTAGAGAACAAATGGAATTTGTTCAGTTAAAATAGGTGAGGAGAGTTTTAAATGGAGAGTTAGATGTATTGGGAAGATGGAAGGAATATTTTGAGGAATTGTTAAATGTTGAAGATAGGGAAGCTGTGATTTCGTGTATAGGGCAAGGAGGAATAACATCTTGTAGGAGTGAGGAAGAGCCAGTTGTGAGTGTGGGGGAAGTTTGTGAGGCAGTAGGTAAAATGAAAGGGGGTAAGGCAGCCGGGATTGATGGGATAAAGACAGAAATGTTAAAAGCAGGTGGGAGACGGCCTACTTGTTGAAAAAAAATATATATATATATATTTGTGTTTGTATATTGTCATTGTTTTGACTTCCCTCAGGTAAGCATTCAGGGTGTTAACACTCAGGGAGTGGCTGTGCCCTATCAGTTGTCCCACCAACAGGCTCAAATGCTATTTGCTCAAGCTGGAGGTGCTGGCCAGGCTCACATTCAATCTCAACAGCACCAAGCCAACAAGTAACTCACTGCTGCAGTGGCTGCCGTCTTGTCACCAGCTTCCGTCCACCACTCTCATCGCAGCTCATGTTGATGACCATCCTCAAGCCAAAGTCAAAATTTCTGCCATTAGATTTAAAGGTCATCTCAGGTCATAGGTCATACTGCCAAATCAACACAATTCTTTTCCAACTAAGTTACCTTGAAAACAATTTAGTAGAACTGGAGAGTAGGTCCATCACAAATGCTTCAGCATCATCAAAGTTTTATTTGTAAACTATTTTTGCAGTCGGCTCTAGTTATTGATGTACTGTAGTGTATTAATATTTGTGTACCAAGCATACTCTCTATTACTGTTTCCATCTCCCTGTAAGTGACCTCAGGGTCAGCCAACTGCACTTTAGTTTTCTCATATCATTATGTTGATTTTATCACTTCAAAAAGCAAAGGCATACAGTTACAAGTGGCCATTTTTTAAGAGATAATCTCTACAAGTTCAAGCTAGTTAGAGGTTAGCACTAACATTTACAAGGTGAGCTAGAACACTGTGGCCAAGTGATAAGCATTGGCGAATATGTGCAGCAGGGGCTGAAGGGTGTGCGGTGGATATTGTTGTAGGTACATTTACTTCTGTGAAATACTGATGTCAGCTTTCATGTTGAAGATATAATGCAGTTATTGCCAGTGTTTTATCTTGCAGACATCCCTAATATACAAAGACTGAGGCGTTATTTTACAGTGTGGGTTTTTGACCATGAATGTACTGATGTAAATATTCAAACCATTAATCTATTATTTTTATATCTAATAAAAAATGATGTAAATGCTGAGTCATTCTGTTGATACCTGGGCTAACAGTATAATATTGATATCACCATTATATATGATACTAACCATTATAATTATTTCATTCATCAACACCTACATGGAACATGTAGGATTATCAAGATATTTTATTAAGTAGACATTGTTAGACCTCATGTGTGAAGCTGCTGAACACTAGTGGCTCAACCATTTACTGATAACTTGACATATCTAACAGTGTTTACAAGTGAGCATACAAGTTATTATATGCAAGGAAACACTAAACTCTTCTAGGTTATTCAGTGATGCTGAGCAAGTATAAATAGTGTTACATTATACATTGGTACCTTTTGAAGGGCTCTTGATCTCAGGAATTGGAGCCCCTTCCCCTCCTCGAATCAAACCTGATTACATACGTTGCATTTTCCAGATGCTGTACAAACCCAATGCGTCTAGTGATAAAACTGCAGAGTCCTCAAGGATAATAAAGTTATTGCAAGCATACTACTAGAAAAATTAAGAACATTTGTAGGAAACTTTTATTAGTAAGAATAATGAGAGAGTCACACATGTGTACAATCAGAGTACATGCAGTGCCTCTGTGTTGTGTAGTAGTACATGTAGTGTCTGTTGTGTAGTAGTACTTTAATAAGTTTAATCTAAACCTTCAGAAACTTTAAAAACATGGGAATTTTCAGGGGCTGTGCTGATGATTACGTATACTTTTTTTGTATATTACGAAATTACTGATGAGGATGTGGTCATTGAAAGTACTGTCAGATTGGAAGGGAGTTATTATATTATAATCAAAAAGAAGCGCTAAGCCCACAAGGACTATACAGCGCTGCAGTGGGTAGGAAGGAGCGAGGGAGGGCATCAGGGGTGGCAAAAAAAGGGAGATGGATGAGATGAAGCAAACAGTTACGGATTAACAGGGGGGGCAGTGGATGTGAAAGGGTTAAAGGGCAGCAGAGATCTGACCAGAAAAGGGCTGTGGGGAGTGCGAAAATGTTCATCAGAGTTTGGGAGAAATCAGTCGTTGTCAAGAAGTCAATGAGAGAGTCAGGATACAGGAGGGTCCATTCAGCAAGAAGGGAATGTAAAGAGAGAGTAGGAGAACGAAGACGACGTTGGAGGTAAATTCTGCGTGCTCGTTGATAGAGAGGGCATGTCTAACAGAATGGTGGCTTAATGATACTGGCACTGTGAACACTGCTCCAGAGAGGAACAGGGTGCCTCTCCATGAGATACCCATGAGTAAGGACGCACGGTGTGGCCATGCGAAGGCGCGGAGAGTGTGGTCCCCAACCTCGGCACTGATGACAAGAAGACGGCCCAGTACTATGCTCGGTTTAATAGAATGAGTTTGTTTACCGAGAGAGTTGACCAACGGTGTTGCCAAACGGGTGCGAGTGTGGGTAGCTATTGCAGCCAAAATAGTCCAGAAATGGAACCCACCTCGATAAGGAAAAATTTGGTAGGTATATTACTGCTGACCGCGCAGCAGTTCTGCCTGTTCATTGCCCTTTAACGTCGATGACCAGGGACCCACAAAAAACAATATTTTATGTTTGGTAGAGATACGGCGTTAGCAAAGTTGGATATGAGACTAGGGGATGAGATGTATCAAATTTTCGTATAGCCTGTTAGTGCAATAAGGGAGTCTGAGGACTACTACCAAATGATGACACAGGCATAGATGCGATACTGAATAAGGTGCTGCAAGAATGGCATACAGTTCAGCAGTAAAAATGCTAGCGGAAGATAGTAAATGCCCTGGACGTCGCTGTCCGGAAAAACACTGCTGCTGAATCGACGCCGTCTGAAGTCTTAGGCCATCTGTGTCACAGGCGGTGGCATGAGAATGAGATGGAAAGTGGATAAGAAAAGAGAGCGGGATGCCACCGTAGGCAGTTTGAGCTTTCGAGCAAGAGGACGTTGAGAAAGAACCAGACCGAACAGCTGGAATTCCAGGGGGGGTAGGGAAAAGTGAGATGCTACATGAACATATAAAGGTGGTAATGAAGGGGGAGACAAGAGTGAAAGGTAGGCGAAGCAGAAAAGGGACGGAGCAAACAGGGGGCGGCGAACGAATAAAGGAATGTATACTAATATCGGTGACCATTCTATAAAAATGGAAGGGATTGTGTAGATCGTGGAGCGTACATAGTAACGTAGGAAATGGGCATCACGGCGATCAGACAAGGATGGAACATTTGCTTCTGTATAGAGCTCTAA